TGCTGTCAGAACCTCAAAAGCATTCCGGGTGTGAGGCGGAAATGAAAGGAGGTTATCCTGCAAACAGTGTTCATCTGCCAATGGGAACTGTCCCTGATAAACACAGATCGCGATATCATACTTCAACTGTGCACATGGGGCTTGACGTTCGGATGTGAGGTCATGTTTACGACCATAATTGTAACACCAGAAATGCATCCTGTAACTATGGAAACTGCAGCATACATGCCGTTACATATTATTTTAGCACATACTTAAGCTGGTACAAAAACGTAACGACCAACCACCAATACTCAAAAGAACTTAACAAAATGTTCAATAACATCCTTTATTTTCGCCACTTAAAGAAGCCTCCGCCTTCGTCTGCCATGTTGAAGGCCGTCAAAACCACCACAAACAGCAACAAAATCATACCGATACCAAACGGCAACAGCAATCTGTTAGTCTGCGCATCCTTCCCAGCTTTATCACCAGCTGTCTTCCCCTTGACACCACCCGAAACAACTCCTTCCGCTTCCTCCACCGCATCCCCCACCGCCTCCCTCACCGCACCCAAATCCCCATCCTTCAGCGCTTTCATAAGCGCCGCTTCCCGCTCACTAAGCGCTGCCCCAAAAGCCTCCCTCCTCGTAGGCGGCGCGGCGGGTGCGACCAGAGAAACCTGGTGGTGCGCCACAGCAGCGGCGCGAGATAAAGAGCGATCACCACATCTACCGAATAATGCTGCCGCTCCCGAACCTCCCTCGCGCGGAGTGAAACACAAGGCCCCATACCATGGCAGAAGCCCAGCCGGGGAAAGCCTCCTGCCAGGCGCAAGCAGTGAGGGATGCAACAATCATGTGAGATGACCATAGGCGCGATCGTTGCAGCCAGCCACCATAGGGGCGGATGACCTTTGAAGCGTTTCAAGAGACAAAACCCACCTGCCAGGCGCAGGCAGTGAGCGCTGCGACGATAATGTGGCCGCTGAAGGCGAGGTCGTTGCAGCCGCCGTAGGGGCGGATGACTTTTGAAGCGTTTTTGAGGCACCTCAAGCGACGAAACCTACCTGCCATGCGCAGGCAGTGAGCGCTGCAACGATAATGTGGCCGCTGAAGGCAAGGTCGTTGCAGCCGCCGTAGGGGCGGATGACTTTTGAAGCGTTTTTGAGGCACCTCAAGCGACGAAACCTACCTGCCATGCGCAGGCAGTGAGCGCTGCAACGATAATGTGGCCGCTGAAGGCAAGGTCGTTGCAGCCGCCGTAGGGGCGGATGACGAAGCTGCTGAAGGCGCCAGAGGAGGCGGCGGCGCCGTGGTGAGCGCGGGCGTTCATTGGGCGCAGGAAAGTCCACCAGGAATTGGAAAGCGCCCCAGTCAGGTTGATATTCTGGTGGGTAGTGCACCTGGGGGGCTGGGGAGGAATGAAGGGGAAAGCAGGCAGAGTTGGGCGTTGGGAACTGAGTTGAGAATTGAGTCCATGGAGCAGTGGTGGTGCGCGGGTAGTTCTGTACGAGCCTTAACACGTCCACTCACCAAAGGCCACGTCAGTGGAGTGGAGATAACCTGGTGAAGCAGATCGTGATTCCTGGCATACGGCACAAAGTATTTCTGAGCCCAGGGGTGCAAGCGAGTGGGTGCTACTGAAGTGTACCTATCAGTCCAGTGGTGGTGTGTGGGTAAATCTGGTGCGGGTGATTCTAAAGGCACACATCCACTCACCAAAGGTTTAGGGAGACAACCTGGTGAAGCAAATTGTGATTCCTGGCATACGGCACAAAATGCTGTGAGCCCAGGGGTGCGGGTGCTACTGAAGGGTGTTTCTGAATCCAGTGGTGGTGTGCGGGTAATCCCGAAGGTGCATAACACATGCACTCACCAAATGCCACGTCAGTGGAGAACTTGGTGAAGCATGTCGTGGTTCCTGGCATACAGCACAAAATGCTTCTGAGCCCAGGGATGCAGGTTCATCTCTAATGCTTCTCTGATAATACCAAATGCTCAGGGACTCACCAAATGCTCAGGGACTCACCAAAGGCTAAGGGACTCACCAAAGGCTAAGGGACTCACCAAAGGCTAAGGGACTCACCAAAGGCTAAGGGACTCACCAAAGGCTAAGGGACTCACCAAAGGCGACGTCAGTGGAAATAACTTCGTGTAGCATGTCGTGATTCGTGGCATACGGCACAAAATACTTCTGAGCCCACGGGTGTGGGTGCCTCGGACTCGTGCTACCGAACCTAGCCGCAGCGCACCACGGCCGAACCGCCGGGAGGATTGTCGAAGCGAAGGTTAGGAACCGGAGCAAGCGGCTGAGCCCGATGGTGAAGCAGTAGCGCGCGCCGAGGCCGATTCCCGAAGGGGGGATGCAGTTGAAGAGCACGGAGAAGGCGAGCAGCATGAAGAGCATGAGGAAATCGTGCAACTCGACGAGGCGCGCGCGGAGGAGCGCGGTGAGGGGCGCGGGGAGGTGGTCGTTGAGAGCGAGCAGGAGCCACTGGCCTGTGTCGGGGAGAGGAGGGGTGCCACTGTATGGGGAGGGAGGAGGCGGGGGGGAGGGGAAGAGAGAGGGGACGGGGCACGGGGAGTAGGAAGGTGGTTGTTGAGGGCGAGGAGGAGCCACTGGCCCGTGTCGGGTAGAGGAGGGGTGCCACTGTATGGGGAGGGAGGGATGAATGGGGAAGGGGGGAAGGGAGGGGCGAGGGGCGCAGGGAGGTGGTTGTTGAGGGCGAGAAGGAGCCACTGGCCGGTGTCGGGGAGAGGAGGGGTGCCACTGGGGGAAGGGGGTGGGGGGGTGAGGGAGATGAGGGACGGGGGAAGGAATAGGTGGTGAGGGGCGCGGGGAGGGGTGCGGGGAGGTGGCTGTTGAGGGCGAGGAGCAGCCACTGGCCTGTGTCGGGGAGAGGGGGGGTGCCACTGCATGGGGAAGGGGAAGGAATGGATTGAGGGGCAAGGAATTAGGGGAGGGGGAAACGGGAATGTGGGTTTGGGGGAAGATGGGAGTAGATAGGAGTGCGGGCAGCAGATAGTGAGTCGAACAGGAAAGGCAAGGGGGGAGAGGGGAGGAAAGAGAGGTGCGCGGAGCACTGAGAAGCATAATGAACATGAGGAATTCAGGAAGCGGGAAAATGGGAGAGGTTCGGAGGAGGAGAGGCGGAGGGTTGGGGAAGGATCGGGGGCTGGGGGGATAATGGCCAACACGGCAGCAAGATGATTCGTTTCCCAATCCGAGGGACCCTACATTGTATTGTAACGGATTCACCTAATAGCGAGGATACGTACTTGTGCCAGTCAATGCCGACCACTACTGTAACGAAACTGCACCAGCACGACTTCCACGGCGAACATCGCCACCATGGAAAGCACGCTTGCGAAGAACTTGGGAGCCGCGCGAAATTCTTCCGCGAAATGGCGAAAACGCGGGGCCTCGAAGAGCGCGAGGATCGCCAAGACGCCCCACAGACCGGTTGCAGCTGCGACGCGAGACTTTGCGGAAGCCAGTTGGTTCGGCCTCTCACGTATTCCATCGCCACGTAAGCTAATCCGACGGTCCCAAGGCCCAGGATCCCCCGCCCGCCAGTGGGTCGCCGTTGATCCACTGCGGGAGCCATAACTCTCCGTGATTCTTAAACCAGGAGTATTTCGTGATAGTATCGGGGGCCTTTGAGGGACTACATGGAGAGGTGGCAAAAAGCGCTTAGAGAATTTACTGGAGTCGTGATTGAGAGAATTCTCCAGTGGCCAATCGGGTGATTCATTCTCTCTCGGGGGGCCTCGATTTACTCGAGTGGCCACGAAATTGGGTGATAATTACTCGAGTGGGCCACGCCAGGGGATTCCTGCTCGCTTTTTTTTCACCGGCGAATTACCCCTAGGGGATTTGTAGCCCTGAAATTCCTTATTCGTGCGAGTGGTATTCCTAGGTAGTGTTCCGTTCTGTTCCGCAACTTAAAATTTCGCCAGGCTCACGGACGCGAAGTGGCCCGCCCACTGTACAAGAAACTGACCAACAGTACATTGACCGGTCAGTTTCGGCCAAATGCCGCGACCAATGAGCGTACGGTCCATCTAATTCCGAAACGAATCAAGCGATCGAGCATATAACTTCTCGATCATATAATCCTAAAGACCCGAAGCGAACAGCCACACCCCTAATGCACGCGCATGATTCGTAAAAAACATGCGCGGTGCATATGTTGCCATTGAGCGTCCAATCAGGCGCCATCATTGAATTCCCCATCATATACCGAAATGATCGGCCATAAATTCGCGATAAACTAAATTACCGCTCGTGATTGGTTTGTTTTAATCTCAGGATATGCTTTGCCATTGAGCGTCCAATTATCCCCGTCCAAATGAAATGGCAACCATATATAAAATAGGACCCGCGCACTAACAAATATTAGTGCGCATATGATTTGTCCAAGTTTGTGTGCTTAGGGTGCATATAAAACATACTCTTAAATCCCATACAGCCATATAGTAAATTGTGTTTAATGAACGCATTCAAATATGATCGGCAATCGGTAAATCTTGCGCCTGATTAGACGCGCAGTGGCAACAAATGCACCACTCTATCTCCTGACCAATCGAGCGCGGTCGTTTTGCTGTGCCGGTTCGTTTCGGGTGAAATGCAGTATATGATCGCGAAGTCATATACTCGATCGCTGATTGGATGTTAATTAGATAGACCGCGCGCTCATTGGTCGCGCATTTGGCCGAAACTGACCGGTCAATGTACTGCTGGTCGGTTTCTTGTACAGTGGGCGGGCCACTTTCGCGTCCGTGATCCTGGCGAAATTTTAAGGTACGGAACACCACCTAGGGATACCACTCGCACGAATAAGGAATTTCGGGGCTACAAAGACCCATAGGGTAATGCGCCGGTGAAAAAAAAGCGAGCAGGAATCCCCTGGCGTGGCCCACTCGAGTAATTATCACCCAATTTCGTGGCCACTCGAGTAATTCGAGGCCCCCCGAGAGAGGATGAATCACCCGAATGGCCACTGGAGAAATTCTCTCGTTCGTGATTCCTTGAAGGGGCGGAGAATGAATCTGCAGGTATGTGCGACATTCTGCTTGGTTGGCGAAGGATGAAAGTGATCTGCTTCTTGGGTGTAATATTTCGTAGGGTTTCGTCACGGTCGCGTTTTTCACCTTGGCTACTGGTGGATGAAGCTGGGTTGCCAAATTACCTAGCACCAAATTTGTAATTTGAACGCAATATATGTATCGACGGTCTCATTTCCGACTACACTACTGGAAGGGCAACTTATCACAATTTTCTGTGTAAAGGAAGAAACTGACTACACGTGAGCCTAATAAACAGTTTTCACTGGTCGTCCCCGTCCCAGTTCAGAGGAAGAACCAGTCCACGTGTTTCATCGAGGTAAGGCCACATAGCCCCAACCCCCCACCACTCGCTGCAGGGGCATTGTAGCGACAATCGAACTACAATCCAATAAGGATTAGCCCAGAGAATCTCCACGACAATTCCTTGAGGTGAAGTAGCGTACTGTCAACAAGCACAGCAGAACAGATTCCGTTTGAACACAAGGCTGAGCGGCGCGACGGTATTTCGGATTCCGTTGTGCATTCACAGCCATGAGCTCTCTCGCAGTTTATCGATTGTCAGCCGCGACGCGTCACGCCTCGCTACATCATGCTAGTTCCCCTCGTGTATTTTCTCATCAAGAACTATCAGGATTAGCCTGCAAGGGCAGAAACTCAAGCAAGTCGAATGCGTTAACGTCTAGAGCACCTTCGTCTCGTTCTTCCGGATACCGTGTTGCTGACGTGTCTCGCTGTCGATCCAATCGCGTGACTCCACGTGCATCCTTGCCCTCCGTGCCTGTCGCTGATGGTTCCGCTCCGATTTCTCTTACATACCTTGAAGTAAGTTCTTTACCGGCTTTCGCTCGTTTTCACTTTCCAGTTAAAGGTGACGTTTGGCTTTATGTGCAAATGTCAACGGTCCCGAACAAATGTGTCGAGTACTGATTTCACCTTTTGTATAGGATGGCGTGAAACGTGTAGGCGGTCATATCATGGAGGGTACGAATGCCATGAACGCGTCACCTTATGTTGCGATAAGTCTCTCCTTCCTCCTCCTTCAACCTCGCATCAACCTGGCAGGGCATCAATTGGCTGTGGTCAGTGGACGGTGTGAAAGTGCTGGTCGATCCAATCATCGAGGGTACAAATTCCTTCAACGTCAATCTCCCTTCTTTTTCTCTCCAACCTTTTATCAACCTGGCAGGGCAACAGCTGGCTGTGGTCGGTGGGACGGTGTGAAAGTACTCGTCGACCCGATCATCGAGGGTCCTCTGGACTTTGGGATCCCGTGGCTCTATACCGGGTACAAGAAAGTCCTGAAGTCGCTCTCGGTAAGACTTGCTGTCTTTCAAAGCTACTTATGAACCCACACGTGTAATCTGGTAGCCCGTGGCTCTATACTGGATAGAGGAAAGCGCTGAAGTCGCTCTCTGTAAGAAATGCCAGTCATATAGAAGCCCATACCTTTACCCTCGTAACCTATGGCTGTAGAACAAGTACCAGAGCTGAATAGACTTCCAAGTATAGGACTCCCCCACACCACCTCCCCTCCTCCTAATCCCCCATTTCCCCTTCCCCGCTTCCCTCCTCTCCTCACCAAACCATCCCTCTCCTATCCTCAGCTGGATGACGTTATCGATACTGACGTGGTTCTCATAACCCAATCACTAGACGATCACATGCACGTGAGGACGCTCAAGGCGCTGGCAGCTAGGCGGCCGGACGTCCCTGTGATCGCCACTCCCAACGGACAGGCGTTTCTGGACTCCCTGTTCTCCAATGTGAGTGCATGGAGGTTGATGTGAGTGGTGTGTGATGGGGGATTGGCTTGAATCACATGCACGTGAGGACGCTCAAGGCCCTGGCAGCTAGGCGGCCGGATGTCCCTGTGATCGCCACTCCCAACGGACAGGCGTTTCTGGACTCCCTGTTCTCCAATGTGAGTGCATGAGTGCGAGCATGGGGTGAGAGTGTGTGATGGGGATTGGGTTGGACCATTGGACGGCCCTGGCAGCCAGACGGCCCGGACGTCCCTGTGATCGCCACTCCCAACGGACAGGCGTTTCCTGGTCTCCCTGTTCTCCAATGTGAGTGTGTGAGTGAGAGTAAGGAAATCCGGTCAGAATGGTACATGCCCTCAGATGTTTAGAAAGTACTGAGTTGACTTTAAGAGAGAGTATTTTCTCGCTCACAGAAATGGACACTCATTTTTTGAACTTCTGCACTCGTATATGAATGTGACGGAAAAATAACAGCAAGAGGAAATCACATGTTTACATGTTGTAGTATGGGCATTCCTGCCATTTCACACACCCCCCGCTCCCCACATGTCCTCCCAGGTGACATACCTAGAGCCCGGCTCATCCACCTCCTTTTCTTCTTCCAAAGGAGCCAGGTTGTCAGTCAAAGCGCCTCAAAGAGTCCCTGCCACCCCAACCCAACCCTCTCTTTACAACTCTCTATTCCATCCTCTCAGGTGACATACCTAGAGCCCGGCTCATCCACCTCCTTTTCTTCGTCCAAAGGAGCCCGGCTGTCTGTGAAGGCCGTGCCTGGGCCTGTGCTGGGTCCACCCTGGCAACGACCAGAGAATGGGTGAGTAGCCGAGGGGGCCATTTGAAGATTAGTACACCATTTCATACTTCCCAAGGAGCTAGTTTGTCTGTCAAGGCCGAGCCTGGGCCTGTTCTGGGTCCTCCCTGGCAGCGACCAGAGAACGGGTGAGTGGGGAGGAGGCTTCTGATTATAGATTATTGAAATTCTGATACTTTCAAGGGAGCCGGGCTTGCTTCGAGGCAGTGCTTGGGTATGTGCTGGAACCACTTGGGTAGTGGCCTGGGGCCAGCCGAAGAACGGGTGAGTGGGGAGGAGGCTTCTGATTATAAATTGTTGAAATCCTGATACTTTCAAGGAAGCCAGGCTTGCCATTCAAGGTCGTGCCTGGCCCTGTGGGACCACTTGGGTAGTGGCCTGGGGCCAGCCAAAGAACAGACGAGTGGCTTAGGTGTATGTATGCAACATCTACCACACGTATTTTCAAAAACAACGTACAAGCCATGCCCATGTCCCTCTCCCTCTCTCTTCACTTCGAAATTGATGTTCCACTGTTCAATGCTCTCTGCTCTATGGCGTGTGAAATTTCTCCACCCAACTCCCCCTTTCCTCAACTCCCCATTCCCGCGCCTTGTGCTTCTGCCTCAGGTACATTGTTCGAGGGGGAGTGTCAGGTGCCTCTATTTATATCGAGCCACATTGTGTGTTTAACGAGGCAGCTCTTAAGGAGGGTGGCGAACGAGTGGATGTGCTGGTGACGCCGGTGGTGAAACAGGAGTTACCGGCTTTCACCCTCGTGTCAGGGCAGGAGGATGCTGTGAGGCTGGCTCAGGTAGTGGGCGCTAGGTAAGCAACGTGCTGGGCTATGTGATTTAATGCACTTTTTTTTACATTTGATTGAGTTAACTAACAGTTCGTGCACTGATCACATTGGCCTGACCCAGTATTGGCTGTATGCATGGTTGTCATTGTGATGTGCAGATACGTGGCGCCTATGGCTAATGCTGACGTGGACGCGTCTGGGATTTTGAGTGCTCTTGTAACTCCTATTGGCACACTCGATTCATTCAAGGTACGCCCCACTCTTTTTCTGAGCCACTTGTTAAGGGCTCAAAGGAAGCACCGCCTTCTCATTACTGTAACCCCAAATTGTTATGTTTTGCAGGAAATTCTTCAATCAAAGGATGGAGTTAATGTGGAGGTTTTGCAGATTGTACCTGGCCAGGCTGTATCTGTTACGGTGTAGATCTTCTATATTAGCTGTGTTGAGAAACAAATGTTCTGCTCCTGAACGGGCCCAGTTAGATACTGAAGCTTGTATATTGCCCATAAATCTCAAGAGATTGCAGACATTTTGTGACCGGAAGTGCTCTAAATGAAGGGACAGAGGGCCGCCACGTTGCCCCAGCAGTTGAAGCAAAAAGTTGGTGTGCTGATCATACATACCTGCACCGAAGACATCTCTGCCGCAACACTTTGAAAGCTATATGGAACGTTCTCCACCGATCTGTGACATCCTCCCCTAAAGTCGTGTCAAATCGTGATCAGTGTAGGGTTCAAATCAAGGCAATACGAAATCCTGGCCGTTTATACACGTGGTCAGAGTTTTCTAGGTTTGGCGGGAACGGTTCCGTTTCTGGAGAAGCGTGGACAACACCCAGCCACACGCAAAACTCAGGGAATGTCTGGTTATTGTCAGATCGCTTACTAACACTGACGTCACGCGTGTTCTGAAAGCTATCAAAAACTAATTGTTACCTCTTAATCTTTTGCTACTCTTGCTGAGTGAAATGGTTGTGAACGGGTGGCTAGCTCTTGTGAGAGGCAAATAGAAGGCCCGCCAGAGGCTTGAAATTCTCTCAGTAGCTTCCAGTCGGCGACTAGCTCACAGAAGGCGGCGTCAATCTAAACAGAAGCCGTTGGTGCACGATGCCAGGCACGCGGCGGAGGGAGCGCAGCGACAACCTCTTGCAGCGCTTGCAGCACCGCGAGACGTTCCGCTCGCCGCCGTGCGCGCAGGCGAGTTTCGAGTGCAGCCGTTTCGCAGGTTCCCAGTTCGTAGGTCCCAGTCTCTGGTATCACTGGTCTCTTGCAGCACCGCGAGACGTTCCGCTCGCCGCCTTGCGCGCAGGCGAGTTTGATCAGCAGCTTTGTTTTACAGCTTTGTAGCTTCAGTAGTTTTGCAGCACTTGCTTTCAGTAGTCTTCAGTCTGTAGTTTCGCAGTCTCGTAGCTTGCAGCGCTTGCAGCACCGCGAGACGTTCCGCTCACCGCCGCGCGCGCAGGCGAGTTTCGTTTCGCAATCAACCGCTTGTTCTGCAGCTTCGCATCTTCTTAATGCGCAATGTCGCAGCTTCGCACTTAGCAGTCTAGTAATCTCGCAGTTCTCCAGGTTCACGAGTTTCGCATTAGTGCAGCCGGGTCGCATGTGATTGCAGCATCAAGAGATGATCCGCTCTTGCATCACTGCTCGGAGGCGGGATACCTTCATTCTCTTCGTCTTTCTCGTCTTTCTCAGCCTCTCTTTCACCTGTTCTTTCTCTCCCTCTCCCATCCTCAGCTGCTCTCTCTCTCTCCTCTCATATCCCTCCCCCAACCTCCCCTCCCCCCCAACCCTCCCCTCCCTTCCCTCCCCCCTCGTTCCCCCCCCCATTCCACTAAATTATTCCTGTCAACCTGTCAATCTGGTTTCTCACCCTTTTGAGTCTGTTTCCCTAGGTTGCATATTCCAAAACTCCATTTTGAGCTTGAGAAGTCTCGTATTCCTCCTTTTTGCTGTCTCCTTTCGCCCTCCATATCTCTCCTTTCCAGTCATGGCTAACCCTCGTCGTACCATCCTCATGTGTTTTGCGTTGACTGGAAACATGCCTTTCCTTTCTCCCTCCTCCTTCTCCCTTCTACTTCCTCCCTTCTCCCTTCTACTTCTCCCTTCTCCCTTCTACTTCCTCCCTTCTCCCTTCTACTTCCTCCCTTCTCCCTTCTACTTCCTCCCTTCTCCCTTCTACTTCCTCCCTTCTCCCTTCTACTTCCTCCCTTCTCCCTTCTACTTCCTCCCTTCTCCCTTCTACTTCCTCCCTTCTCTTATCTCCCTTCTCCCCATCTCCCTTCTCCCCGTCTCCCTTCTCCCCGTCTCGCTTCTCCCCGTCTCCCTTCTCCCCATCTCCCTTCTCCCCATCTCCCTTCTCCCCGTCTCCCTTCTCCCCGTCTCGCTTCTCCCCGTCTCCCTTCTCCCGTTTCTCCTGCTTGACTCCGTCCGCTTTGCTCTGAATTCTTCTTCAGCTACACTTGGAGTTTCGAGCTTCATTTTCCTTTCTTCCTTCTCCCTCCTCCCTTCTCCGGTCGCCCTTCCCATATCCCTTTTCCCGTCTCCTGCTTTAACGTGAAGTTGTAACGCTGTAACCCTCCTGCAGCTACACTCGGTGCGCCGCTTATACGAGAACATCATGCCGTCCCGTACGGTGTACAACACTAAGCTCACCTATGCATTCTCAGTGCACCTTAAAATTATATTTTTACCCATGTGCTGTGCGTGCAACCCTGTAACATTTTCAACCCTCCTGCAGCTACACTCGGTGCGCCGCTTATACGAGAACATCGTACCGTCCCATACGGTGTACGACGTCGAGTCACCGGAGCACGTGATTCGCCGGTTCAGCCACGATGGGCAGTACCTCATCTGCTTCTCGCGCAACGGCCTTGAGCTCATTGTGTACCGCTTCCACTGGTTCAAGTGAGTGACTCTGGTTCAAGTGAGCTCTGGTTCCTGGATGAGCTGGGTCCGCAGTGCAAGCGTGCTGCCACGATGGGCAGTACCTCATCTGCTTCTCCCGCAACGGCCTTGAGCTCATCGTCTACTGCTTCCACTGGTTCAAGTGAGTCCCGGATCAGTAATGGTCTCTGGATGAGCTGAGTACAGAGTGCAATGTTCAACCAGGATAGGCAGCAGTGCCTCATCTGCTTCTCATCTCCCGCAACGGCCTTGAGCTCATCGTCTACCGCTTCAACTGGTTCAAGTGAGTGGCTTTTGTCTGTCATTGTGGACGTTGGGAGAGTGCGGCATGCAACGTGCCAGTTCAGCACTGGTTAGCAGGTTCAACCACAGTGGGGAGTGGGCAGTACCTCATCTGCTTCTCCCGCAACGGCCTTGAGCTCATCGTGTACCGCTTCCACTGGTTCAGGTGAGTGAATTTCGTTCCAGTGAGTCTCAAAGCAGGTGTGGTCCTTCCCTGGGTGAGCTCAGTACATAGTGTAATAGCTCAGCCACGATGGGCAGTACCTCATCTGCTTCTCCCGCAACGGCCTTGAGCTCATCGTCTACCGCTTCCACTGGTTCAAGTGAGTGAGTCTCAACTTATAACAGGCAGAGAAGGACGACTACCTCTTTTCACCTCGCCTCTGCTCTCCCCCTTGTCCTAACTGTTCCCCACTTTCCCCTCCGCGGCCCTCCTACCCTGCTGCTCTCCCTCCCCCCCACCCAGCTATGGGGCGCAGGGGGCAGTGGCAGTGGCAGAGGCAGAGGAGGACGACCACCTACCTCCAGCTTCAAGAAAGTTCCCGAGCTACTTTGAGCAGCTGTACTGCGCTTCCTCTTCCCCCCTTCCCCCCTGACAGCTACGGCGCGCAGGGGGCAGCAGCAGTGGCAGAGGTAGAGGAGGACGACGACCTCCCAGCTTCTAGAAAGTTCCCGAGCTACTTTGAGCAGCTGTAATGCGCTTCCCTTCCCCCCTCCCAACCCCCCCCCACCTTTCCACCCAGCTACGGGGCTCAGGGGGCAGTGGGAGTGGCAGAGGCAGAGGAGGACGACCACCTACCAGCTGCGTCCAGGAAGTTCCCGAGCTACTTTGAGCAGCTGTACTGCGCTTCCTCTTCCCCCCTTCCCCCCTGACAGCTACGGCGCGCAGGGGGCAGCAGCAGTGGCAGAGGCAGAGGAGGACGACCACCTCCCAGCTTCTAGAAAGTTCCGAGCTACTTTGAGCAGCTGTACTGCGCTTCCCTTCCCCCCTCCCAACCCCCCCCCACCTTTCCACCCAGCTACGGGGCTCAGGGGGCAGTGGGAGTGGCAGAGGCAGAGGAGGACGACCACCTACCAGCTGCGTCCAGGAAGTTCCCGAGCTACTTTGAGCAGCTGTACTGCGCGCCCCTGGGGAGGGGCAGCGAGGTGCTGTGCAAGGACCTCTTCCTCTGCTGCCAGGGGAGCGCTCTGCCTGCCTTGCCTTGGGCTAGGGGCACTGCCTGTGAGACGCTGTGTGTATCGACTCTCTATTCCCTTCCCTTTCCCCCTCCCCCGCTCCTCCCCCTCCACCCCCCACCCACCCAGCTACGGCGCGCAGGGGGCAGCGGGAGTGGCAGAGGCAGAGAAAGACGACCACCTACCTCCAGCTGCCAGAAAGTTTCCGAGCTACTTTGACACCCTCCCCTCCCCCCCTCCCACCCAGCTACGGCGCGCAGGGGGCAGCGGGAGTCGCAGAGGCAGAGGAGGACGACCACCTGCCAGCAGCGTCCAGAAAATTCCCGAGCTACTTTGAGCAGCTGTACTGCGCGCCCCTGGGGAGGGGCAGCGAGGTGCTGTGCAAGGACCTCTTCCTCTGCTGCCAGGGATCTGCCTTGGGCGTGTTTGCCTCGGCCACCCCTGCGGATTTGGCGTCTCCTCCTAGGGTGGGGGCAGTTAAAGGGGTGCCTGCTATGGAGAGCATCACTCTACACCTCGTCAGGTGAGGTCCAAAGGTTATTCTTGAGTTGACTGGGGAATCGGGTTGACCGTTGAGGTGCTGCTGTGCAAGGACCTCTTCTCTTCCTCTATTTTGAGGCGTCTCAAAACAAGGACCTCTTCCTCTGCTGCCAGGGGAGCGCCCTGGGCGTGTTTGCCTGGGCTACTCTCGCGGATCTGGCATCTCCTCCCAGAGTGGGGGCTGTGCAAGGAACTCTTCCTCTGTGCTGCTGCCAGGGGAGCACTCTGGGCGTGTTTGCCTCTGCTACTCCTGCTGACCTGGCGTCACCCCCTAGAGTTGGGGCCAGTTAAAGGGGTGCCTGCTATGGAAATCATCACTCTGCATCTTGTGAGGTGAGCGGGTGGAAGTGCCTTGGGCTGTGGGCACTGTGTGAAGCAACAGAGGGTGAGTTGAGTGGGATAAAAGGTTGAGGTGCTTTGCTGGGCTGTGCAAGGACCTCTTCCTCTGTGCTGCTGCCAGGGGAGCACTCTGGGCGTGTTTGCCTCGGCTACTCCTGCGGATCTGGCTTCGCCGCCCAGGGTGGGGGCAGTGAAGGGGGTTCCTGCCATGGAAAGCATCACACTGCACCCCAGGCTGGGTGTTTCGAGACGCCTACATCAATTAACCTCACTCATTGCTCCCCTTCACCTATCATAACCCCCCGCTCCCCCGCCGCCTCCCCCCCTTACCCTGCCTCTGTTTCTTTCCCAGGCTGTGTCACGGCAAGGTGGTGGACAGGAGGGTGTTTCGATACGACTATCTCAACCTCCCCCCTGCTTCTCCCTCACTTATGAACCCCCCTCCTCCATCGCTACTCCCCTCCTCTTCCTCTACTCGCCAGGTTGTGCGATGGCAAGGTGGTTGACAGGAGGGTGTTTTGAGACGACTACATCAACCTCACCCACAACGGAGGGAGAAAAGGAGCAAAGCACGCCTTCCCCATTCCTCCTTGTTCCTCTACCTCTCTCCTCTCCCTCTCCTCCCCCCTGCTGGCTCACCAGGCTGTGTGATGGCAAGGTGGTGGACAGGCGTGTGTTTCGAGACGACTACATCAACCTCACCCACAATGGAGGGGCGTTTCTGTACGACGACCTGCTCTCCGTGCTCAGCATCCGCTTCCAGAGGATACACTTGTTCCAGGTGAGGGGAGTGAAAGTCACACACAATCGCAACAGTTCAGGACTCTTTCTTTCTGTATGACGACCTGCTGTCCGTGCTCAGCATTCGGTTCCAACAAATCCACCTCTTTCAGGTGAGAGGAATCGAAAGTCGCCCAGAGGAGTTGAGTGAACTCAACTCAACCCTCACTGTGTTTCGAGACGACTACATCAACCTCGCTCACAACGGAGGGGCGTTTCTATACGATGACCTGCTGTCCGTGCTCAGCATCTGCTTTCAGAGGATCCATCTCTTTCAGGTGAGAAGGTTAGGTAGACGCCCAGAGGAGTTGAGTGAAGGCAACACTCACCTTGTTGTAGTGTTACAACAGAGGGGCGTTTCTGTACGACAACCTGCTGTCTGTGCTCAGCATCCGCTTCCAGAGAATCCACTTGTTCCAGGTGAGCTGAGTTATAAGGAGTTACTTCTCTCCAGGTGAGGGTGGTGGATTGGTCGGTTTGTGGATGTGCAGGTGGTGGGGCCGTTTGGGTGTGTGACGATGATGAGCTGCTGCTCTCATCCTACCTCTCCACCACTCCCCACCCCCCTGCACCACAGATCGTAGAGGCAGCAGAGCGGTTTGTAGACGTGCAAGTAATCGGGCCGTTCGGGTGCGATGATGATGAGTTGATGCTCTCATCCTACCTCTCCACCACTCCCCACCCCCCTGCACCACAGATCGTAGAGGCAGCAGAGCGGTTTGTAGACGTGCAAGTAATCGGGCCGTTCGGGTGCGATGATGATGAGTTGATGCTCTCATCCTACCTCTCCACCACTCCCCACCCCCCTGCACCACAGATCGTAGAGGCAGCAGAGCGGTTTGTAGACGTGCAAGTGATCCGGCCGTTTGGGTGCGATGATGACGAACTGCTGCTGCAGTCGCACTTCAACCCATGCCTCCCACCCTCCCTCCCTTCCTCCCTCACCACAGATAGTGGAAGCAGCAGAGCGGTTTGTAGACGTGCAAGTGATCGGGCCGTTCGGGTGTGACGATGACGAGCTGCTGCTGCAGTCGCATTTCCACGAGGAGTGGCGCTTTCAGCGGCATTTGGCTGAACTGAGGAGGAGGCAGGCCACGGGAGGGAGGGGAGGGGGTGGTGAGGGGAGTGGAGGTGTGGGAGGTGAGGAGGGGATTAGTGAGGGGGGTGTGGGGGGGGTATACGGAAGAGGATGAGGAGGGGGAGGGGGAGGAGGAAGGGGAGGAAGGGGAGGGGAGAGGGGAGGGAGGTGAAAGGGGAGGGCGGGAGGGGGGAGATGGAGAGGAGGTGGGAGGGAGATTGGGAGGAGTGGGGGGAGGAGGTGGAAGGGGGGAGGGAGAGAGGGTGGGTGATGCAGAGAGGAAAGGCAGGAGTACGGTTTTAGAGGGAAGGGGTGATGACGGTAGAATGAGGGGAGAGGAGGGGAGAGTGGCGGATGAGAGGAGTCAGGGTGAGGGGAGTAGGGGGGAGGGAAGTAGCGGGGAGGGGAGCAGGGGTGAGGGGAGCAGGGGTGAGGGGAGCAGGGGTGAGGGGAGCAGGGGTGAGGGGGTCGAGAGGGGGACGGGACAGGAAAGGAAGTGGAAAGAGACGCAAGGATTGGGAGGAGGGTATTTGGATAGGAGGCAGGACGAGCAGGGGGTGAAGAAGCCGCGATTGAGACTGGAAAGTGTGAGGGAGGAGGGGGTGGAGGGGCATGGGAGAGATGAGTCAGGGGAGGTTGGAGAGAGGGCGAGAGGTGGGGATGGGGGAAAGGAGGGAGGAGAGAGAGGAGAGAGAAGAGAAAGAGCAGTGGAAAAGGCTGAGATTGTAAGCGAGGGAGTGGAGGAAGGAGGAGGTGGGGAAGGAGAAGAAGGGGAAGAAGTAAAGAGAAGTGAGAGAGGGGAAGGGACCACTGTAGGTGACGAGGGGGCAAGGGAAGAGAAGGGAGGAAGCGGAGGAGGAGGAGGAGGAGGAGGCGAGGAAAGAGGAGAGGAAACTGGTCACAGTGTCAGAGGGAAGGAAACGGGAGGAGGAGAAATTGGAGGAGAGAGAGGAGGAGCAAGAGGAGGAGCAAGAGGAGGAGCCGGGGGAATGGGAGGGGTAGCGATGTATGAGAGGCGCTATGGGGGGGAGGATGGGCGGCTGTTAGCGCCGCGCACATCCATGGGTCCCCCTGGTGGTGGGGGAAGGGGGAGAAGAGAGGGAGGGAGAGGAGGGGCAGGGGGAGGAGGGGCGGCGGGAGGAGGGGTGGCAGCAGGAGGAGCAGGAGCAGCAGGAGGAGGGAGGGGTGGGGATGTGTGGATGCAAGGTGGGGTTGCTGCTCACAGCCTTACCATGTCTACCTTTGGCTCTAGCCTCTTCAGCCTCTCGTATGGGCCTGACGGTCAGGCATCGCTACAATCGCCTTCCCACACCGCCTCACACACTCACTCCCACACTCACTCTCACACTCACTCGCATGCCCACTCCCATGGACATTCCCACGCTCACTCCCAATCGCACTCGCGTGCTCATTCGCACGAGCGTGGGACTGGGGGAATGCGGCACCACGGAGGGGCGAGCTCAGAGGGAGCAGCAAGAAGCGGCTTGCCGTTTTTCTTTGGAGCAATGGGAGCAGCAGCAGGGGGGAGGGGAGTGGGGGGAGGCACTGGGGAGGGCGGAGAGAGGGGGGTGAGTGGGAGGATGATTGGGTCTAGGAGTCAGGGAGAGGGGAGGGAGAGAGGGATAGGGGGAGGGGGGTCTGAGAGGGAGAGAGGCGGCAGGGAGAGGGGCAGTAGGAGACGACGCAGCAGACAGACGGGGGAGGGCGGCAGCGAATCGGGAACGGGCGGCGGTGGGGCGGCGAGTTATGTTGTCAGTGACAGGGGCGATCTGGAGGCGATTACGAGGCAGCAGTTGGGGGGAGGAGCGGGGGGAAGGGGGAGTGAAGGCGTGGGGGGAGCAGCAGGGGGAGGGGCAGCTGCAGGAGGAGGGGCAGGGGGAGAAGGAGAGGCAGGGAGAGAAGGAGGAGCAGCGGCAGCAGGAGCAGGGAGAGGGGTGAGGGGAGGAGTGGGAGCAGCAGAACTGGCAGGGGAAGGAGATGGGGGTGCGCATGGGCATGGGCATGGTCATAGGGATGGGGATGGCCTAGAAGGTGGACGAACAGATGGCACTGGTGGTGGGGGTGTATCCGCTCCCATGCCTGGGCCTGGTGCTGCCAGAGGTGCTGGGAGATCAGAAGGCCCTGCAGGAGCAGGAGCAGGAGCAGCAGGAGTGGGAGGAGAGGGAGGAGTGGGCGGAGGGGGAAGAGGGGTTGGAGGGGGAGGAATGGGAGGAGTGGGAGGAATGGGTGGAGGGGAGAGAGAAGGGGGGGTAGGGGGAGGTGGGTTTGGGGGAGCTCTAGCCGGGCTAGAGAGGGAAGGAGGGGCAAGGGAGGCCAGTGGATGGGGTGACGGGAGGTGGATGTTGGGGGGGGGAAGGGGAGGAGGTGGGCATGAGGGGTATGGGGGAACTGGGGGTGGGTGGGGGGATGGTGAATGCTGGGGGGCTGTTAACAGGTGGCGGGTTGTTGAGTGTGCTGATGCAGCGGCTGCTGGTGCACGTATTTGAGTGCCACCTGGGGGATGCAGTGGGGTCGAGTGCGGTGGGGTCTGGTGTGGTGGGGTATGGGGATAGCAGCAGGGGAGACAGAGGAGGAGGGGGAGGCGGAGTGGGAGGAGGTGGTAACCAGCGTGTGAAGAGATTCCTGTATCACTTTCAGCACTATGCGGATCTGATCATATGGAAGGTAAACGTCATTTACTGTCGCCTCACAACGCTAGTGCCTGCCTGTGCCACTGTGTGGGAGTGGGAGGAGGTGGTAACCAGTGTGTGAAGAGATTCCTGTATCATTTTCAGCACTATGCGGATCTGATCATATGGAAGGTATGTGCGTGCATAGAGGCGCCTCACAACACTAGTGCTTATTCAACTCGCCCCACCAACCCATCAAGTCCAGTCCCTGTGCTCTTGCTCACTTTCTCTATGTGCCAGACCCAGCTGTTGGACCGCTGTCATTTGCTCATCCGCCTGGGCAGCACGGAAGGGGTCGTGCTGCGAGCGTCTGACAGCTTTTGAGGCACCTCAAAAGTCAGCTTTTGAGGCGCCTCAGAAGGGGTGGTGCTGCGAGCGTCTGACAGCTCCCATGCACCCATCAAGCCATTGTGGCGTCTCTCTTCCTCTCACCCACTCGTACCTTGTCTCTCGCCCCATACACCAGGCTCAGCTGTTGCACCGCTGTCATCTGCTCATCCGCCTGGGCAGCACAGAGGGGGTGGTGCTGCGGGGTCTCACTCGTTCGCACCTCCCGCTCCCACTTTCTTCCCCGTGCCAGGCTCAGCTGTTGCACCGCTGTCATCTGCTCATCCGCCTGGGCAGCACAGAGGGGGTGGTGCTGCGGGGTCTCACTCGTTCGCACCTCCCGCTCCCACTTTCTTCCCCGTGCCAGGCTCAGCTGTTGCACCGCTGTCATCTGCTCATCCGCCTGGGCAGCACAGAGGGGGTGGTGCTGCGGGGTCTCACTCGTTCGCACCTCCCGCTCCCACTTTCTTCCCCGTGCCAGGCTCAGCTGTTGCACCGCTGTCATCTGCTCATCCGCCTGGGCAGCAGAGAGGGGGTGGTGCTGCGGGGTCTCACTCGTTCGCACCTCCCGCTCCCACTTTCTTCCCCGTGCCAGGCTCAGCTGTTGCACCGCTGTCATCTGCTCATCCGCCTGGGCAGCAGAGAGGGGGTGGTGCTGCGGGGTCTCACTCGTTCGCACCTCCCGCTCCCACTTTCTTCCCCGTGCCAGGCTCAGCTGTTGCACCGCTGTCATCTGCTCATCCGCCTGGGCAGCACAGAGGGGGTGGTGCTGCGAGGTCTCACTCGTTCGCACCTCCCGCTCCCACTTTCTTCCCCGTGCCAGGCTCAGCTGTTGCACCGCTGTCATCTGCTCATCCGCCTGGGCAGCACAGAGGGGGTGGTGCTGCGGGGTCTCACTCGTTCGCACCTCCCGCTCCCACTTTCTTCCCCGTGCCAGGCTCAGCTGTTGCACCGCTGTCATCTGCTCATCCGCCTGGGCAGCACAGAGGGGGTGGTGCTGCGGGGTCTCACTCGTTCGCACCTCCCGCTCCCACTTTCTTCCCCGTGCCAGGCTCAGCTGTTGCACCGCTGTCATCTGCTCATCCGCCTGGGCAGCACAGAGGGGGTGGTGCTGCGGGGTCTCACTCGTTCGCACCTCCCGCTCCCACTTTCTTCCCCGTGCCAGGCTCAGCTGTTGCACCGCTGTCATCTGCTCATCCGCCTGGGCAGCAGAGAGGGGGTGGTGCTGCGGGGTCTCACTCGTTCGCACCTCCCGCTCCCACTTTCTTCCCCGTGCCAGGCTCAGCTGTTGCACCGCTGTCATCTGCTCATCCGCCTGGGCAGCAGAGAGGGGGTGGTGCTGCGAGCGTCCGACAGCTCCCATGCAAGCTGCTGCAGCCGTCTCTCAACCCACCCATCAGCTCCTTGTGCCCTTCCTCCTTTTATATGGTTTGCCACACTCACACGGCAGGCTCAGCTGTTGGACCGCTGCCATCTGCTCATCCGCCTGGGCAGCACAGAGGGGGTGGTGCTGCGAGCGTCTGACAGCCCATCCCTTTGTTTCCCCCGCCCACCCTTCAATCCCTGTCCTTGTGCCCTTTCTCTTTCAACCAGTTGCTCTCTCTCCCCACCAGGCTCAGCTGTTGGATCGCTGTCATCTGCTCATCCGAGGGGGTGGTGCTGCGAGCGTCCGACATCTTTAGTGCTGTTCTTCCTTCTCCCACTCTGTTTTTTGCCCCCCGCCAGGCTCAGCTGTTGGACCGCTGTCATCTGCTCATCCGCCTGGGCAGCACGGAAGGGGTGGTGCTGCGAGCCTCTGACAGCTCCCACCAGAACTCTTTTTTCACCGTTTACAACTTCGTCACCACCAGAGTGCTGTGCTTCTATCAGGTATATTTGAGGCGCTTAAAAGGTGAGATCTCCAATTCTAAAAGGTGAATAGGCGGCATAGCAGTGAGTGAAGGGGTGGTGCTGCGAGCGTCTGACAGCTCCCACCAGAACTCTTTCTTTACCGTCTACAACTTCGTGACAACGAGAGTGCTCTGCTTCTATCAGGTGAGACTGTATAGTAATGAGGGGGGTCAACTGAGTCAACTGGGTAACCAGGTCAACCGGGTTGAGAGCATCTGACAGCTCCCATCAGAACTCCTTCTTTACTGTCTACAACTTCGTGACAACACAGGTGCTCTGCTTCTATCAGGTATGTTTGAGGCGCATTTCAGGTGAGTGCTCTCTGCTTCTGGAAGGTGAGTAGACGGCATAGCAGTGCAAAGGTGGGTGGTGTGACAACCCGAGTACTCTCTGCTTCTATCAGGTATGTTTGAGGCGCATTTCAGGTGAGTGCTCTCTGCTTCTCTCGGCGCTTGAGCATTTCTGCGACCACTTCTGAGTCGACTCGAAAGTCACCTTCTGGTTTCTCTCTCCGGACTTCTGCTGCTGCTGCTGCAGAACTCGTCGGAGGACTTTCTCTCGGCGTTTGAGCATTTCTGCGACCACTTCCGAGCGCCACGGCACCACGGCTTTTGAGGTGCCTGAAGGCTGAAAGATAATGCTTCCTTCCCCCCTCTGTGGTGACTTTTGAGGCGCCTCAAAAGGCTGAAAGAGATTGCTTCCTTCCCCCCTCTGTGGTGACTTTTGAGGCGCCTCAAAAGGCTGAAAGAGATTGCTTCCTTCCCCCCTCTGTGGTGACTTTTGAGGCGCCTCAAAAGGCTGAAAGAGATTGCTTCCTTCCCCCCTCTGTGGTGACTTTTGAGGCGCCTCAAAAGGCTGAAAGAGATTGCTTCCTTCCCCCCTCTGTGGTGACTTTTGAGGCGCCTCAAAAGGCTGAAAGAGATTGCTTCCTTCCCCCCTCTGTGGTGACTTTTGAGGCGCCTCAAAAGGCTGAAAGAGATTGCTTCCTTCCCCCCTCTGGTGACTTTTGAGGCGCCTCAAAAGGCTGAAAGAGATTGCTTCCCCCCTCAGTGTTTTTATGATGCAGAACTTGTCGGAGGACTTTCTGTCTGCGTTTGAGTATTTCTGCGACCACTGCATGCTCATATTTCTGTGACTCGCCGTTTATTTGTTTAATTGCTCGCTTCTTCCTCCCTCCGTGTTTTTTTGTGCTTCAGAACTCGTCGGAGGATTTTCTATCTGCGTTTGAGCATTTCTGCGACCACTTTCGAGCGCCACGGCACCACGGCTTTTGAGGCTCCTGAAGGCTGAAAGATAATGCTTCCTTCCCCCCTCGGTGTTTTTGTGATGCAGAACTCCTCGGAGGACTTTCTGTCTGCGTTTGAGCATTTCTGCGACCGCTTTCGAGCACTACCACGTTTCAACATCGTTTCCTATTTATCTTCCTCCCTGTTTTCGCACTGCAGAACTCGTCGGAGGACTTTCTGTCTGCGTTTGAGCATTTCTGCGACCACTTCCGCGCCCCGCCGCGGTCTCCAGCCGGGTTTTCGTTCATCAGCAGCTGCGCCAACAATGTGTTTGCGCGCGAGGCGTTCAAGAAGCAGAAGGCTGCTCTAGTCACGTGCAAGGGCGGATCACAGACGCAGGTGAGGACACCAGCAAGCAGGCAAGCAACCCATCCTACTGAGAGGCGTTCAGGAAGCAGAGGGCTGCTCTTGTGACGTACAAGGGAGGGTCACAGACACAGGTGAGCGAGCAAGAGAGCAAGCAAGCACAGGTCGAACCCATGCTCACTACCTGAGTCGATATGGAAATCACATTTATAAGGTCCCACGCTACCCTCCATGTGTTCTGTCTGGCTCCGCAGGCAATCAAGCGAATGCTGGCTGCTCTTCCCTACAGTGCAGTGCCAATCACCTGCTCATGTACTCACTTTCTGAGTCGCTTCGCTTTGACCTCATGCTCACCCACCCCCAAAATTTCTGGCTCTGCAGGCAATAAAGCGAATGCTGGCTGCTCTTCCCTACAGTGCACAGACCTACTCCCCATCTCCCTACTTCGACCAGTCGCTCTTTCATTTTGATGAAAAGGTGAGGGCCAGCATTGATGGGTGGGTGCAATTCTCTTTGTACAGTAACCCAGTGACCCTCATTAGCATGCCCCATCCTCACCAGTACGCCTCCCTCTGCTTCCACCGTCCCATCTCACATCCGATTTTTGAGGCGCCTTTTGAGGCGCCTCAAAAGTAACCCTCACTAGCCAGCCTCCACCCTCACTTGTGCGCCTCCCTCCTCCTTCTACCGTCCCAGCTCACATCCGACTTTTGAGGCGCCTTTTGAGGCGCCTCAAAAGTAACCCTCATTAGCATGCCTCCATCCTCACTTGTACGCCTCAATCTGCTTCCACCGTCCCGGCTCACATCTGTGTCAGACCGGCACAAGCCCTGTGCGGAGCACCCAATTATGTTCTTTCTGCAATTTTTGAGTCGACTCAAAAGTAATCGTCACCGCCATTCCTCCTCTCCTCCCACCCATCCCAGCTCATATCTGCGTCGGATCAGCACAAAGCCCTGTGTGGAGCACCCAATCAAGTTTATCCTGCGACTTCTGAGTTGACTTAGAAGTAATCATCCCCAGCTTGCCTCCTCTCCCCCACCATCTCACTCCAGCTCATATCCGCATCGGATCGGCACAAGCCCTGTGTGGAGCACCCAATCAAGTTCATTCTTCGGCGCCGGCCAAATGTCCTCAAGTTCAAAATCAACCCAGGTATACCAACTTCAGGCTCTCTGATTTTTATGGAACGCCAGGTTTTCATGTCGCCTCTGTTACGCTGCACCAGGTCTCTGGGCTACAGCTTGTGTTTTTTAGTCCTACCTCAGTCGGGAACATGCTAAACCATATCGTGATTTGTTTGACTTGATGCAGGTTACGAGTCTGCTAACCCAGATGCGCGGATAAAAAGAGTGGCAACATATATCTTCCATCCATTTCTTCCCTTCGCCATATCAGTGCAGCAGACGTTTATGCAGCCTTCGGTTGTCAACTTCCACTTCCGAAAGTGAAGCCTGCACAATATTGTTTTCGCGTGAGAACGATGTCTTTGAAATGGTTGGAAACACAAGGAGATTTGAAGACAACCAAGTCACCTCCTTGCTTATGATGGGCATAACCATTACAACCATACATACTACCGTAAGCTCTGCCAACTTGGCAGTTAATACAAATCAGATCTATGAAACAATTTGAAAGTCAGATGTAGACACTGCCAGTAGGCACTGGAAGTGCAAGCCAACCTGCAACAAGACAACAATAAATTATCTCCTCTTGCGCCAGACTGTGTGACCCTTGTTGATCTCTTTCTTGCTGTCCTGAAGCCGTAGGATGTGCGAGAAGTGCTGAAGCTCTTCAGGGCTCTCTCTCTCCACCAATGTTAACAAGCAGACGCCTTTCGCTTCCCCCGACTCCTTTGACAAAAGGACACCATCGGTGGTGGTGCACTGTTTGATGGCCTCTGGTTTGGCAGCTGGCACTGTGTGACTGGCCAATGTCTCCACCATATCGTTCTGACTGCATTCTCGCCGGTACTCAATGCTTATTTGAGCCAGCTCCGAGCTGTCGACAAGATCCTGGGGCAAACTCTGTAGGGGGAATGATGAGATTTGAAAGCGAAATGGAGAGGGCGAGAAGGGTGAGGGAAAGGCAGACATATTGGGAGAGGTGAGCGAAAAGGATGGAACGTGAAGGAGGGCAAAACTGGGAAGCGAAAGGGTCTAGAAAGAAAAACATGTGTAAGATGTCCTTAGTCATGGAGCATGTTGAAATAAGGCATAGCGAGGGAGAGTCCAGTTTGTATGTTTACAGTTCATTCTTGGTGGCTCAGAACGGCTCCATATGGTGTGAAACGGTTTTTGTGCTTTGCCGTTTTGCACCTTGACACAACCAATTAGACTGTGAAGGACGTACAACCGCAAAGAACGTACAATGAGCGTACGAGTTGGTTACCCCCTAAGGTAGCAACCACTTACTTCGAGCATCCATGCAATGTAAGTCACATTGTTGACATGCTGATTCATGTCCAGGTCACTTCTTCTGGCCTGCAAGAAGTGGCGGCAGCAGCAATGTGGCATTTTCAGTAAGAGCCGCTTAGAAGGACTGAATTGATGGGACCGTTCAGACAATAGACATCATACCGCTATTATGGCATTGTGAGCTTATGAATAGCGTTGATGCAAATAGCATATTACGGAACAACACCATTGACAACGATAGCAACCACAGCAACAGCACTCACACAGAGACTTGATTTTGAATGGTCAGCCGGCTCTTTGAGCTTCGGCAACTTGTCCACCGCGTCTGGGGGAAGAGCATACCTGTTCAGAGAGGGTTCAACAAATACTTCACGTTTACTTCAAAACTTCTATACTTTCGTGGCGTAAAGTTGTGTTGCTAATAAAATCCCCACGGGAGAAACTTACAGGGAAGGATTAGGGCAGTGAACAATAATCTCCTCCCACACGTCAGACGGAATTCGAGCCAAACGACGTGTGTTGGAATTCATCATCACCCAGGAGCTGCACAACATAGGTATAAACCGATCAGCCTTCTACGATAAGAGCAAGAGGAGTTATGCATACATAGTACCAGAATTTTCTTACCTGGTGCCTCGACCAATGACGTCACCAGATTTTGACAACCGAATGATCCAGTCCCGCCGTGTCAATATGTTTGACTCTAACTGACACCACGTGTCAATTTCAACGACATCTCCCCTGTTATAAGACAAGAACGTAAGGTGAATTCTACAGTTAAGTCAGAATGCATCAAGAGGCACAAAATGGGACTCGAATGAGAGGTTGAAATGAGGCTCTGAGCACGTCATTTGAAGAGTTACCAGGTAGGATACTTGTACATCTCGATGTGGATCCGAGTTGTTGCCCATATTAAGTTATGTCTCAGCATGCCTGGCGTGGTTGCCAGACCGTCCTTAGAGAACCCAACGCTGTGAGCATGATTGGTCCCCACCTCCTGGAAATCCAGCAAATGGATCACTTATATAAGCTCATGACCCCTGAATATGAGATCCATAAACTTCAGATTTTCGGATTGAATCCTCTTACCTGCAATAAATTGGCGATAGTTTCTATCGACGCGGTCTTATGAACGCCGACTTCGTAACACCTGATGACGAATCTCTCTCGGTAAACGCTCCCTCCTTCGAGAAGCGCACCGAGCTGCTCGGAACCTCCCTCCGTCCAGATCAACCCTTCGTCAACGCCAGGTACATTGAATGAAGATGCATGCTCTTGGATCGGTGAGGAGGGTCGGCCAGCTATCGCGCCATTCTCCGACTGTAGTAGCGGCGCTTTGACACTAGTCGTGGACGTACTGTTTTTTTCCGAGGATGTGTTGCTCTTCTCCAGAGACGTGACAATGGGAGAGGAATTGCCCGTGATAGCTACAGCGACAGACAAGGAGCCCTTTTTATCTCGTTGAGAGCAGATCCGTCCTCTTCCGATCAGTGGTTGAGGTTGCGGAGCGATCGGCCGGGAAAGCGTTCCTACAAAGTCCATAATTTCAGTCGATGAACGAAGCCAGAGCACGGTTACGACGAAACTGCTCAGTCACCAAGATCGGTCCTTCCAGACGCTGGCCAGACTGGAGATCTTCAACGAGAGGAGAGTAGAAGAGATTCAACTGACAAATGTACGCTTTGAAGCCGATAGACAAACCAAATGGCGCTAGTTTCTCGATTTCCCTCCTAAAATTATGTGCTTGTTGGCCCCTGATTGCACAAGCTCCTCAGAAAACAACTGCCAGAGCAGCCATGGTGTTGTTGAAACCGAAACCGAGGGGTTGGCTTGACTGCAAATACGTACTGAATGAGAAAAGGGATGCAGTAACAGAGCGACCAGATCGCACAGGTCCACACCACAACACCCGATCGCAGCCGTCCACTCGACTAGGAGGAATCTCTAGGCCGGTGATCCACGCAGAAATGGCTGGCCCCTGGTGGTCCAGCAATTCCGGCGACCGAGCCTAGGGGAGCTGGTGAGCGGAAGTATGGTTCCACCAGACCTGATGGGTTGCGTTTGGGATTCACAAATACAGCACAAAAACATTTCCTAGATTTCAGCGAGTGCTGGCTTTGTGCAAATATCGAGGGAGATCACGGCGGTGGAGGCACGTGTGATTGTCCTTTCCCCGCAATCTAGTGGCTCAGGGCCGATGGCTTCCATACATTTCCTGTCTAGCATTATTCGCCAGCCAATCAGTCGAACCTGGAAAGCTGAGCTGTCGAGACTGATTTGTATTTTTTGGTCACAGCAAAACTTCCCTGGCTACCGAGGCCGCTACCGGGGGCAAGACGATGCTACCGAGCGGAATATATTGGTTGTACCATGCTCACAGCAAATTCAATTCCTTGATAGGTGTAGTGTAGACCGTCACCATATGCTGACGGAACTATTCCTGCCTACACCTCTCAAGCATGAAGCAATGAAACGATATATTTGTGTAATGTTGCTATTCTGAACCCATCTCTACACGTCAAAGCTTAGTGAATGCAAAAATGCTGTCATGCAGGCTCCGCTAAGCAAGCAACCATGCCTACACGCTGTATGCGCGATGTCAATTCCCTGATAATCACAGCAAGTACAGCACCTTCCGGATGACAACACATTCACAAATTTCAGCCGATCCTAACACTGCGACTGATGCTGGACTTGATACCGGTCGATTCACCACCGTAAGGAGCACTTACACGCTTGACGTCTCGCACCTGGCCCTTGCGCCGAACCACAGCATTCGCATGCTTAAGCTGTAACCACAAAGAATTGACAAACAAAATAAGGGTAAAGTAGTTTGTTCAAAGGAGTTAACGACAAAGCGAGGGAGGAAGCGAAGTGGGGAAAAGGGAGGGGAGAATGTACTGGCATTTGCAACAAGGATGTAGTGGGGAGTGGGAGGGAGCAGGAGGGGGCTGGGAGGGGTTGAAGTGGGTGGGAGGCTGCTCAAAATGTGTGATACCTGCACTAGCATTTGAATACCTCGCATTTCTTGCGCTACCTGCTCTATTTGCATACCTTATACTTCTTGCAAGGGTTCTTGACCGCCTTGTTGCAGTGTTGGAGGGGTTGGAGTGGGAGGGGGCCTGCTAAAAAATAGTGCGACCTGCACCAGCATTTGCATACTTGGTACTTCTTGCGCGGGTTCTTGACTGCCTTGTTGCGGTGTTGAAGGGGTTGGAG